CCACCTAGGGCACACATTAGCTGGAAGCAGAACTGGACTCTAATCCAGGCACATGATATGGGGCTGCTGTTATTCCAAGCAGCATCTTAACCATCGCACCATATACCTGTCCCCAAACTGGTAGCCTTTTTTATATATATTTTTGGTCCATCCCTTTTCCTTAGTGTTTTGTTTTTGTTTTGTTTTGTTTTGTTTTTAGGGAGGGAAAAAGAGAGAGAGAGCACGCACACTCTTCCATCCCCTGGTTCACTCCTGAAGTACCCACAACAGCCATGGAGGCTACACTAGACTGAAGCCAGAAGCCTAGAACTCCATCAGGGTCTCCAATGTGGGTGGCAGGAGCCCAAGAATTTGAGTCAACATGTGTGCATCAGCAGGAAGCCAGAGTCAGAAGCTGACTGGGGATTCAAACCCAGGTATTCTGTTATTAGATGCAAGTGTCCCAAGCAGTGTCTTAAACCACAGTACCAAAAACCCACGAGCCCCAAAACTTTACATTCAAATTCCATCATCCACTATTTTGACTTGATGTCATAAGACATACCACCAGGCCGGCGCCACAGCTCACTAGGCTAATCCTCTGCCTAGCAGCGCTGGCACACCGGGTTCTAGTCCCGGTCGGGGCGCCAGATTCTATCCCGGTTGCCCCTCTTCCAGGCCAGCTCTCTGCTGTGGCCAGGGAGTGCAGTGGAGGATGGCCCAAGTGCTTGGGCCCTGCACCCCATGGGAGACCAGGAAAAGCACCTGGCTCCTGGCTCCTGCCATTGGATCAGCGCGGTGCGCCAGCCTCAGCGCGCCGGCCGCGGCGGCCATTGGAGGGTGAACCAACGGCAAAAGGAAGACCTTTCTCTCTGTCTCTCTCTCTCTCACTGTCCACTCTGCCTGTCAAAAATAAAAAAATAAAAAAAAAATAAAAAAAAGACATACCACCAAATCACAAATTATAACTATGTATCTCAAAAACATATTAAATTTAAATCGATTTCCACTTTTAGTATAAATAAACTGGACTAATGACTGTACTTGAATAGGATTTAAAAAAGAACACTTTTCAAGAAATAATGGTCAGTCTCATACCACAGTGCCACCAAATAAAATACAGTAAAATAGTAAGTACTAAAACCAGGGACACTGGGGCTAATGCTGTGGCAACAGTGGGTTAAAGCCCGGGCCTCCAATGCAGGCATACCATAAGGGCGCAGGTTAGAGTCTCAGCTGCTCCACTTCTGAACCAGCTCCCTGCTAATGTGTCTGGGAAAGCGGCTGAGGATGGCCCAAGTGTTTAGGCCCCTGTACCCACGTGGGAGATCCAAAGACGCTCCTGGCTCCTGGCTTTGGCCTGGCCCAGCCCTGGTCACTGTGGCCATTTGGGAAGCTCTCTCTCTGTAACTCTGCCTTTCAAATAAATAAAATGAATCTTAAAAAAAAATCTGGGATACCATTTCATTGAATTTCCATATTCGAAAATTATGTTAAAACAGAGAATGGTGGTATAATTTAATGTACTGTCAAAAAAAAGTTGGACAAATTTTATATCGTACTTATTTTCACAAACATTTCACACCTCAACAATAGAACCATTTATTGTTAATGACTAGATTTATCACCTCAAAGGCAGTTGTAAGGGGCTAGCACTGCTTCCAACACATGCAACCTATATCAGACACATGCATCCTATACTGGATGCCCAGCTGGAGTCCTGGCACTTCAGCTTCCAATCCAGTTTCTTATTAATGGATCCTGGGAGGCAGCAGATGATGGCTACAATGTTTGAGACCCTGCCACCCATGTGGGAGATTCAGATGGAATTCTAGGCTACTGTCTTCGGCCTGGCCCAGCTCTGGCTGTTGCAGACATTTAGGAAATAAACTAGTAAATAGAAGATAGATTCTCTCTCCGCCACCCCCCCCCCATCACTCTACCTTTCAAGTAGGTGAAAATAAATAAACATTAAAAATACATTTTAAATGTTTGCTCTTGAGGGGCCCAACGCCGTGGCTCACTTGGTTAATCCTCTGCCTGTGGCGCCGGCATCCCATATAGGCGCCGGGTTCTAGTCTCAGTTGCTCCTCTTTCAGTCCAACTCTCTGCTGTGGCCTGGGGGGCAGTGGAGGATGGCGGAGGAGCTTGGGCCCTGCACCTGCATGGGAGACCAGGAAGATCTGGCTCCTGGCTTTGGATCAGCGCAGCAACGGCTGTAGCAGCCACTTGGGGGGTGAACCAACGGAAGGAAGACCTTTCTCTCTCTCTCATTGTCTATAACTCTACCTGTCAAATAAAAAAAAATAAAAAAAATAAAAAAAGTTTGCTCTTCAAAAAGTTCACTGAGGGGCGAACATTTGGCCTAGCAGTTAAGATTTGTGGGTATCTGGGGAATAAACCAGCAGATGAAAGCTCTCTCTCTAGCTGTTCTTTGACTTCCAATTAGCTTTTTATTTAAGTTAATGGAAAATCTGTAACAAAAAAACACATCAGGGGCCAGCACTGTGGCACAGCGGGTAAAGCCACTGCCTGTAGTTCTGGCATCCCTTCTGGGCACCAGTTCAAGTCCCTGCTGCTCCACTTCTGATCCAGCTCTCTGCTATGGCCTAGGAAAGCAGTAGAAGATGGCCCAAGTGCTTGAGCCCCTGCACCCATGGGGGAGACCAGGAAGAAGCTCCTGGCTCCTGTCTTCAGATCGGCGCAACTCCAGCCGCTGCGGCCATCTGGGGAGTGAACCAGTGGATAAAGACCTCTCTCTCTCTCTCTCTCTGCCTCTGCCTCTCTGTAACTCTGCCTTTGAAACAAATAAATACATCTTTAAAAAAAAATCATGGATTTCAAAATAGTTTTGCACAAAAATTATCCTTTTAAATCCATTCTTCCATAAACATTATGAAGTACTCTCATATAAGACTAAATTAACCAGATGTTTTTTAAAAAACCTAGTTGTTTAGGTGGGGCCAGAACACTGACATAAAGCTGCCACCTGTGGTGGCAAGCATTCCATATGGGTGCTGGTTCAGGTTCAGGCTGCTCCATTTCCAATCCAGTTCCCTGCCGGTATGCCTGGGAAGGCAGTGCACCAAAGTGGGAGACCCAGAAGAAGCTCCTGGCTTCGGATTGGCCCAACTCTGGCTTTTTTAGCCATTTTGGGAGTGAACCAGAAGATGGAAGATCTCTCTCTCTTTTCAAATAAAATAAATAAATCTTTATCAAAAAATCTAGTTGTTTAGAGTAGATAGTATAATATCTTGGGAAACTAATTCTCTAACAAAGTAAAGTTTTTAAAGAAAAACACATTACCTATATTTTTAAAATATGCATTTCTTTTTTTTCTTTTCTTTTTCTTTTCTTTTCTTTTTTTTTTTTTTTTTGACAGGCAGAGTGGACAGTGAGAGAGAGAAACAGAGAGAAAGGTTTTCCTTTTGCCGTTGGTTCACCCCACAATGGCCACTGCGGCCGGCGCATCGCGCTGATCTGAAGCCAGGAGCCAAGTGCTTCTTCCTGGTCTCCCATGCGGGTGCAGGGCCCAAGGACCTGGGCCATCCTCCACTGCACTCCCAGGCCACAGCAGAGAGCTGGACTGGAAGAGGAGCAACTGGGACAGAATCTGGAGCCCCGACCGGGACTAGAACCTGGTGTGCCGGCGCCGCAGGCAGAGGATTAGCCTATTGAGCTGCGGTGCAGGCCGAAATATGCATTTCAAATGTAATAAAAGTAAAGTTCCTTGACTTCTTTTCCTTTTCTTTTTAAATTTTATTTTTTTAAAGATGTATTTATTTATTTGAGAGATAGAGTTACAGACAGTGAGAGGGAGAGACAAAGAGAAAGGTCTTCCTTCCTCTGGTTCACTCCCCAAATGGCCACAACAGCCGGAGCTGCGCCAATCGAAAGCCAGTTTCTTCCAGGTCTCGTGGGTGCAGGGGCCCAAGGCTTTGGGCCATCTTCTACTGCTTTCCCAGGCCACAATAGAGAGCTAGACCGGAAGAGGAGCAGCTGGGACGAGAAACAGTGCCCATATGGGATGCTGGAGCCACAGGTGGAAGATTAACCTCCTGCAAGGATTACCCAGCCTCAAGTCCTTGATTTCTATTTAAGGTACTTAAAGTATACAACCTCCAACCAGGTCTATTCATGCTGATAAAAAAAAAAAAGTTCCATAAATCATACTTGCCCCTGTATATAAGCACAAAATCTAATCTAATTCCAATATTAAACTATTAAATGGAAAAAGTACCATTATTTGGCTGATTATTAAATAATAAACAACATCTACTTCATATGTATTCAATCAGAGGAAGAAAAACTCCACTTATAGGAATACTCCATTATTCACAGGTTTCATTTAACATTTTATCACAGCAATAAACTCTTGTGAAGTTATTTTAATATGTCAAATTATCTGATACATATAACAAAAACATAACACATATATCAATATTTTTACTTTCCCCTAAAACATTATTCTTTAATGTAGAAGCTATGTCCAAAAAGTTTATTATATACTAATAAGTACAACTGGTTCAAAGTGATATGTAAACAAAGAAATATTTTAACTCTGCATTTCCTATTGCTAACTATCAAGTTTCTCTATGACAGGGCATTTGTTCTCAAAGTAGAACTTCACATCTTTTCTTTCCTACATTCCTTTTAAAGCTTTAGAGTAATATTTTATAGAATTGAACATTCATACATAAAACACAAAAATACTTTCTCACTACATAAACTGAACATAAAAAGATCTTTTAATTATGTCTTTTTCAAATTATTTATTTTCTAGAGAAAATAAATGGAAAATGTTTGTGAAAATAAAATAGAAAAAATGGAAAAACTGGCACTAACAATGATATGTCAAAATAAAGAATCTAAAAGTAGGCATATTTTATTGCCCCTCTGGGACTCAGAACATCTGAATTCTAAAAAACAAAACAACTGAAATATGATATTCCTAGTATGTGACAACCTTATAAAACATCAGGTTCAGGTCAGCATTGTAGTATAGAAGGTTAACCCTCTACCTGCAGTGTCAGCATCCCATGTGGGTGCTGGTTTGAGTCCCAGCTGCTTCACTTCCAATCCAGCTCCCTGCTGATGCACCTGCAAAGCAGCAAAGGATAGCTCAAGTACTTGGGCTTCCACACCCACGTGGGAGACTTGGAGGAGGCTCCTGGCTCCTGGCTCTGACCTGACCCAGCCCCAAGTGTGGTGGTCATTGGGGAGCGAACCAGTGGATGAAAGATCTCGCCCTCTGTCTCTCTCCATCTCTCCATGTCTCTGCCTTTCAAATAAATAAATCTTTAAAAAAAAATCAAGATCATCATCCACATTTGTAATAAACACTAGCCAGGGGTCAGTATTGTGGCACACTGGGTTAAGCCACTGCCTGCTACACTAGCATCCCATATAAGTGCCAGTTCAAGTCCTGTTCCACTTCTTATCTAGTTTCCTGCTAATTTGCCTGGGAAAGCATCAGAAGATGGCCTAAGGGCTTAGGCCCCTCCTACCCATCTAGGAAACCCAGAGGGAGTTCCAGGCTCCTGGCTTCAGTATGGACCAGCCTCAATCATTATGGCCATTTGGGGAATGAACCAGTGGATGGAAAATTCTGTCTCTCCCTGTCTGTAACTTTGCCTTTCAAATAAATAAATAAACCTAAACAACAACAACAACAACAAAAACATAGGAGCAGGCCTTGTGGCATAGTGGGTAAAGACATTGCCTGAGAGGCCGGCATCACATGTAGGGGCCAGTTTGTGTGCCAGCTGCTCCACTTCTGATATAGCTCCTTGATAATGTGCCTGGGAAAGCAGCAGAGGGTGGACTAGGTACTTGGGCCCCTGCACCCACATGGCAGAACCAGATGAAGCTCTTGCCTTCTGGCTTCAGCTTGGCCCAGCACCAGCTGTCGCAGCCATTTGGGAAGTGAACCAGTGGACAGAAGATATTTCTCTCTGTCTCTCCCTCTCTCTGTAACTCTGCCTTTCAAATAGATAAATAACTCTACTTCTCAAATAAATAAGAGTTACATTAGTGAGGAGAGGTAGAGAGAGAGAGAGAGGTCTTCCATCCAATGGTTCACTCTCCAGTTGACCGCAACAGGCGGAGCTGCGCAGGTCCAAAGATCCAAAGCCAGGAGCCAGGAGCTTCTTCCGGGTCTCCCACATGGGTGCAGGGGCCCAAGGACTTGGGCCATCTTCTGCTGCTTTCCCAGGCCATAGCAGAGGGCTGGATCAGAAGTGGAGCAGCTGGGTCTCGAACTGGCGCCCATATGGGATGCCGGTGCTTCAGGCCAGGCATTAACCCCGGCGCCAGCCCCATAAATAAAATCTCAAAAAAAAAAGTTCTGTAATTCATGAAAAGTGTACTCACACATAGGGTGTGACACTTGATATATGAAAACACATGTTCCCCAATAAAAAGCCTCAGAAGTCACCATCATTCCCAAAATTGTTGGTCCTCTGCCCAGGATTCTTTTAGACAAAATGCTTAGGATCTTCTAAGCGCTAAGGCTAGGAAAGGTAAATAACTCCAATCAAACTACCAAATGGACTAGAGACAAGATTCAGGAAAAAGTGAAGGCTGAGCTACTGAAGGCAAAAGGAAAAAATAAAAAGCAGCATACTTCAGAAACATGAGATCAGAAGTAAAGGGATAAGGCAGAAACAGAATTTCCAAAAAAAGTTAACTAGGTACCTGGAATACATAAAAATGTTTCCAAAATAATGCTTTCCATTTACTTATGTACCACATTCAGACATCTCCTATTATTTAACTGGTATTGTGACTCACTAAATTGAATTCACAAGTCATTGAAAGCACTGGCTTAGAAGAATTTACAATCATAAGGAAGCTCCTTCTTTTCTATGAATATCTACCTATTCAGGAGGTGGAAGAATTAAGAAGGCAGAATTAATTCCTCCACAGCAGGGACAGTATCTTAGTGGCACATAATAAGCAAAATTTGTGAATTAATACACTTTGGAACAAAAAGCACTTTTAAGATGAACACGTGTCAGGGTCAGCACTATGGCACAGCATATAAAGCCACAACCTGCAGTGCCAGCATCCCATATGGGCACTGATCTGCTGCTCCACTTCCCATCCAGCATCTCTTGATAGCCTGGGAAAGCGGTAGAAGATGGCCCAAGTCCTTGGGCCCCTGCACCCACGTGGGAGACCTGGAAGAAGATCCAGGACCCAAATCTGGCTGTTGCGGCAATCTGGGGAGTGAACCAGCAGAGAGAGGACCTCTATCTCTGCCTCTGTCTCTCTCTAACTTTGCCTTTCAAATGAATAAATAAACCTTAAAAAAAAAAATGGATACATGTCTACAAATGAAACAAATTAAAAGGCTTACAAGAACATGAGTGCTTTGGATACCTTCAAAGCCAGGGACAGTGAAGAGAGTTTCAAGAGGTAGACGTGTGATATCAAATTTTTCTTAAATGAACAAATGAAGTACCAAAGGAAATGGAAATTTCATTCCTACAACAGGCCTTATATACAGAAAGAAGAAGAAAACCTCTAAGAGACTAAAAATTCATATTAGTATCAGGTAATACATAGATAGCAAGTTAACTATCCTAAAATCCTAACCATGTCTCTGAAAAGTATGTCAGACTTGTAAAAGTGTAAATTCAACTTCAACTCAATAACCTAGTTATAGTTATATAAAGATGCCAGTTCGAGTCCCAGCTGCTCCACTTCCGATCCAACTCTCTGCTAATGTGCCTAGGAAAGCAGTGGTGCACAGCCCAAGCCCTTGGCCCCTGCATCAATGTGGGAGACCCAGAAGACGCTCTTGGCTCCTGGCTCTGGCCCAGCAAAGCCCAGTTGTTGCAGCCATTTGGGGAGTGAACCAGAGGAAGGAAGATCTGTCTCTCCTTCTCTCTGTGTAACTCTTTCAAATAAATAAATATTTTTAAATCAGATAAGTTATGCAACTAAAAAATTAAAGATACATTGGGAAGGGGCCAGTGTTGTGGTGTATAAGCCATCACCCATGATGCTGGCATCCCATGTGGACAACAGTTTGAGTTCCAGCTGCCCCATTTCTGATCTAGCCCTCTGTTAATGGCCTGGGAAAAGCAATGGAAGATGGTACAAGTGTTTGGGCCACTGCCACACATATGAGAGACCCAGATGAAGTTCCTGACTCCTGGCTTCAGCCTGGCCCAGCTCTGGCCATTGAGCCACCTGTGGAGTCAACCAGAGGATGGAAGATCTCTCTATATATCCCTCTCTCTCTCTGTAACTCTGCCTTTCAAATAAATAAATCTTTATAAATAAATATATATATATATACACACACACACACAGAGAGAGACAGAGACAGAGAGACAGACAGGTGGGCATTGTGATGCAATGGGTTAGGCTGCCACTTGGAATACCCAGGTCACATATCAGAGCACCAGTTGGAGTACCAGCTGCTCTACTTCTGATCCAGCTCTCTGCTAATACTCCTGGGAAGCAGCAGATGATGGCTCAAGTACTTGAGTTTCTGTCATCTACACGGAGACCTGGATGGATTCCCTGCCTCCTAGCTTCAGCCTGGCCTAACTCTGATAGGGAACAAAGGGATCCCAACTGGCAGCTAAACCACTAGGTCAAACATCTGCCTGTTCCCTGTCTCTGCAGTCATGTGAAGAGTGAACTAGTAGATGGAGGAGCTCTCTTGCTCACTCACTCTCTGTCACTCTGTTTCAAATAAATAAATCTTTCTTTTATGATATACTGGTAGTCAGGCATTATGGTACAGTGAGTTCGGCAGCCACCTGGAATACCAACATCCCACATCTGAGTACATGGGATTGAGTCCGCATTCACTTCCAATGCAGCTTCCTGCTAATACACCTGGCAGGTGAGGTGAGGACCCAAATACTTGGGTTCTTGCCACCCATGTGGGAGACCCAGCTGGCTCCTGGCTTTGGCCCAATCCAGCCTCAGCTGTTATGGACAATGGGAGAATAAACCAGCCAATGGAATCTTTCCCTGCTCCCCATCATTTGGTGTTCCATATATATACACACACACACACGGAAAAGGCAGACGTCTGGCCTAGTGGCTTAGCTACCAATTGGGATCCCTTTGTCATCTATCAGAGTGACTAGACTTGAGTTCTGGCTCTGCTCCAGATTCCAGCTTCCTACTGATGCACACCCTGGGAGGCAGCAGGCAATGGCTTCAGTAGTTGGGTCCCTACCACCCACATGGGATACCGGGATACATTCCTGGTTCTTAGTTCCTGGCTCTAGCCCTGGCCCTGGTCCAGTCTCAGCCCAACCCCCTTCCCAGCCACTGTGGGAACCACTGTGGGCATTTGGGGAGTGGACCAATGGATGAAATCTTTCTCTCTCTCGTAATAATAATATTAGTAGTAGCATTATACTAAGTACCAATTATTATTATTGGTGGCTGCAAACTAGAAAGTTTTATTCCATTCCATTATTTGGTAATTTTTTCTTAGAAACTAAACCTTGCATGTCATTCTAAATATTTAAGAAATTTGCCTACTCCTAAACTGTATAAAATATTTAATCAAATAATTTATCAAAAGGAAAAATTACGAACCAGTTTTGTAGCACAGCAGGTTAAGCCGCCGCCTCTGATGCAAGCATCCCATATGAAAGCTGGTTCCAGTCCCAGCTGTCCACTTCCAACCCAGCTGCCTGCTAATGTGTCTGGGAAAACTGTGCATGATAGCTCAAGTGCTTGGGCCCCTGCTACACACACAGGAGACCCAAGTAGAGTTCCAGGCTCCTGGCTTCAGCTTGGCTCAGCTCTGGCCCATGTGGCCATTTGAAGAGTGAACCAACAGATGAAGATCTTTTTCTCTGTCTCTCTGCCTTTCTCTCTCTCTCTTTTTTTTAAAAAAGATTTTATTTATTTATTTGAGAGGTAAAATTACAGAGAGAAGGAGAGACAAAGGTCATCCATGTACTGGTTCACTCCCCAGATGGCTGCAAAAGCCGCGGCTGGGTCGACCTGAAGCCAGGAGCTCCCCCCAGGTCTCCCAGAGGGGTGCAGAGGCCCAAGTTCTTGGGCCATCTTCTGCTTTCCCAGGCCACAGAAGAGAACTAGTTTGGAAGAAGAGCATC